TACTTAGGAATAATATATAAGGTTAAGGTATATATAGATTATAAGAATATTTAGTACTTTACTATAACTCAGTAATTAAATAAAAGGTAAATTTACTATATAGAATATCTATTTTAGTTTAACTATAAAATTATATATTAAAAGGGATTAGAAAATAGAAGAGCTAATACTCTTAGCTATAAACCTGAATATAAATAAGCTATACCTAAAATAAATAGATAGCTATTTATAACTAATAATAATAGATACTTTATATAGAAAACCTTAGAAGCTATACTTAAGGAAATAGTATATACTAAAGTCCAGATTAAAACTATCTCTAGCCTGGATAAACTATAATAAGATACTAGAATAGTACTTATTAAAAAGATCTATAAGTACTTACTCTTAGGATATTAAGAAGTTAAAAAGATATTTAATAGGATTAAATAATACTATAACTACCCAGATCTATAAAAAGAAATACAGACTGTAGTTTCAGAATATAATACTTATATATAAATTAAGTCTATAAGATATAAACCCTATAGGGAACTTAAACTAGTCTTAGTATTAGAATAACTATAGTAATTAGTATCCTTTAACTATATTATTAAACTATTACTATCCAGAGAACTTATAACTAAAGTAAAATATAATAGTATTCTAATAGTTATTAATAGATTTATAAAGTATAGATATTTTATCCCGTATAGAGAAGTAAGCTCTACAGAAGATCTTATATATTAGTTTCTATAATATATAGTTAGTTACTATAGATTACCTAATAAGATTATATTAAATAGAGGAATAATATTTACCTCTAAATTTTAATAATTACTTATAGTATAAATAGATACTAAATATAAACTTTTAATAGCTTACTATCTATAAAGTAATAGTTAAATAGAATAATTAAACTAAACTCTAAAATAATATCTATAAGTATATATTAATTATAAGTAAGATAATTAGGTATAACTATTACCTATAGTATAGATTATATATAATAGCTCGGTATAAGAATTAATCTAGCTTATACCTATATATATAAATTATAGTTATAAACTATAATTTTAGAATTAATTAGAACTTAATAGACTGAATATACTAGCTACTATACTTATAAAAGAAATATTATATTTATTATATATAGAAATAAAAACAGAATTAGAATTTATTTAATAAAGAATAAAAAAATATTATAATAAAACCAGATTAGAAGGATTAATCTTAAAGGAGGGAAATAAGATCTACCTACTTTAGAAAAATATTATAATAATAAAGCTAAGTAATAAATTAGACTATAAAAAACTTAAACTATTTAAGATTATTAAGAAAAAATCAGATACTAACTATAAACTCTTACTACCGGATATAATATATATCTACCTAGTTTTTTATATCTTATTATTAGAAAAAGTATTAAAAAATATACTAAACTAAAACTACCTGATTAAAGTCTATAAGGAAGAATTTAAACCTTAGAAGATACTAGATAAGAAAATTAAAAATAGATAAATATTTTATTTAGTAAAATAGAAAAGCTATAATAAAAGTAATAATATATAGGAACTAGTTAAATACCTAAAGAAGTACTAATATTTAATATACTAATACTACTAGAAGAAGAGGAAGGATTAATAACCTTACCTTAAGTAATACTACTAAAGAGATCCTCTATAGAAGAATTAAAGGAAAAACTAGAAAAGTTAACTACCTATATAGTATATAATATCTAAACTTAGAAGGTAAACTTAGCTTCCTAAACCTATACCTACTCTAGTTCTTCTTAATAACTTTTCTCTTCTATCTCTTTCTATTCCTTCTCTTCTAACTCCTCTATATTATCTAACCCTTTCTTTAGTATCTTTATACTCTTCTTATAAAGCTATTTTTATATTTTATATAGTCTGGAAATTTATATAAATACTACTACTAATTCTACCTCTACTTTAGATTCCTTATCCTCTAGATAGAATAACTCTTTATTAATTTTCTTAACTATAAAAAGTTAGAAAGGATATATAGTATAAGATAAAATACTTACTTAAAGATATTAGAGAATAAGTACTATTATATAAATAATTAAGATAGATATATATTATATAATAATTTAAACTCAGAATAATAAAGTAATTTATATCCTTCTCTATATAGTAAGTATAAGGAATAACTTTAAAACTATAAGTAAGGATATATTCTAACTTCTAAGTATATTTATATACTAAATTAAATTTCTTTTATTTTAAAATATAACTAGATATTTTATTAGTATAATATATAATAGATAAATATAGAGCTAAGTATATACTAAAGTTAGTCTGGAATAGTAATCTGGTTTTAGGGATAAGACTAATAGGGAGGGAGTATTATATTATAAATAAAGGCCTCTATTAGGCTATATAAAGTTATATATAGTATAGAGCCTTATAGAGACTATAACTAATAAACTATAACTTATTACTTAGGTAGAGTAATAGATAAGTAATAAGTAAGTAATAACTCTAGTATATATATATATTTATTTTATTAGTTAGAATACTCTTTCAGATAGTTATTAATAAAGTTATAATCTCCTAGTAATATTATCTATATATCTATTATTACTAGTTCTATAATACTTATATATTAACAGTAAATTATATTATACAGCCTATAATAACCTGATTATACTACTCAGAATAATACTCTGATTAGTTTAACTCTAACTTACCCTAGACCAGGTCCAGTATAAGTTACCCAACTGTCATAGATAGTATAGGTTAATTACTAATAATAACTAATAAATCTATAGCTCTACTACTAATAATTAAATATATATAGTAGTTCTTCAGATATTATAAGCTTTACTATAATAGCTATACTATTTAATAAATAAAGTAATATAAAAAGTATTATAAGAAAATAGATAGTAGAACTAGTAACCAGGTAGCTGATATAACTAGTACTACTCTAATAGAAGGAAGAAAATCAGCTTAAGTATATTTTATAAAGTCTTATTTAACTGTAAATACTACTAAGAGCTACTATAGATCGCTTATCTTCCCTGGTTTTTAAAATTAATTACCTGATATTATTATTTAAACTTTCTATAGTTTACTAAAGAAGTATTATATATTCTCTTAACTTCTATTAGAAGATATTAATCTATAGCTATTATATTAATAAGAATAATTAAAGTTATAAGAAAAATAAAAATAATTATAGTAATAGAATATAATAGTATAAAAATAGTATTAAGAATAACTTTACTTGAATTTTAACTAAATTTAATATAGACTAATAGTATAACCGAAAGTATAATATCCCTAACCAGGCTATTTAGATATAATAAAATAGTAAAGTAGGAGGAAATATAAGATATAAGATAAATAAATTATATATCTATATAAAAGAGTTTCAGTTTTATAATATTCTACTACTAGTAGTATAAATTTCGAGTTAATAGTAGATCGGGCTAGAGGTTAGATATAAGTATTATTATAGCTTATCCTAGGGTATTAATCTTACTGATTATATACTTAGGAGAAGAAAGATAATAGGAATATATATATAGATATTAGTATATTATCCTGGTTAATAAGCTAAGCAATATTATAAAACTGCTATTGCTTTATAGAGCTAGCTAAATATAAGTATAAATTGCAAGATATATAATATTAAGAGGTTTATATTATAGTTTTTTAGAATTAAAGTTAGTATATAGGTATTAATATAAGAATAGCCGATTGGTATTCTACAAAGTAGTTCCTGTGATTTAAGTATCCTCTTATAGTTTAAGTTTATAGCTTATAGATTGCTAAAGATATATTAGGTTAACAATATTATAATTCTAATTAACTGAGACTTTATACTAACTGCCGAAGCAATAGACATAATATCTTAATTAAGATTTATAAATTTAATAAATATAGATTAACCTTTAAGATTTCTAGCAGTAACTTAATATAAATAGCTTAACTATATGCTATCTTTCATTGTTTTCCATATAATCACATTGATCACGAATTAAAGCTACCTCTATCCATCCAGTCGCCCGACTCTGGGGTGTTCAAACTCATTGATAGTAGATCCGCTGGAGAAATACTTGTCGATGAAGACACAGGCATATTCGGTCCCATAAATTCACCACCAAATGCTGTCGTTGCTGGAAAGTTGGCAATGCATTCTGAAAAAGGTTAGCCTTGGCCGTTCGTAGAGATGAGGCTGAGAAACGGCGATCGACAGCTTACCTTCGTATGCCTCCCAAGTAAACTGGTCAACCGACATATCTGTATCCTCAGGCGTCACAGTCGTAAAGCTCGTAGGAACAGTATCGTTTCCTTGTTCTTGTAGTCCCAGTCTCAGACTCATGTAGTCTATCGCCCGTCTAGCTTCCCTGGACACTGTTGTCGAATGCAGCCACAGGGGGTACGCGTTGCGCAACAGATTGTGAATCTTCCCTCCCGTAGCTTGATCCAGTGAAATACCTGGTCGTGACTTGGCCAACTGTACATAATAACAGAGTATGCTTACGCCCAGTAAGAAGACAGCCCGTGGCCGGGATGAGAGAAGCATCCACCGCGCCCATCTGGCGGGATACAGTAGCCCATCTCCCTGAGTTTCCTCCATCACGATCTGCTGGAACTCTAGGATCTTGATAGCTGCCTGTACACAAGCGTTTCTTGAATATTGATAGCGTGCCTGTGTATAGGGCGGTGCCAGGTACTTGCGGTGAAGCCAGATGGTGAGTCTCTGTATTGCGAGCTGGAGCAACACGCGGTGCATCACGATATGTGGCGCAACCATGAAAGATTGACTAAGAGGCTGCCATCGAAAGATTGGTGGTAGTGACACTTCGGCTTCTTGCAGCTTCCGATCCAGCTCCATGATCGTAGTATATGGGTACTCATGAGTGTTGTTGACAACATCATTGATCAGTCCCATCATCTTATCTATCCTGCCTTTGGCTAAACTGTAGAGCGCAGGTGTAACCTCAGTCTCAGGCCGAGAAGGGGGTAGTTCGGTGGTAGTCTCGTCAAAGTCTGTGTCTAGCAGGTTGCGCGGCTCAGCTGTGTCATACTGCTGTGACTTAAGAACACACGGCAGAGCCAACTGACTCGAAAGACGAAGATCCATCTGCACGATGATGGACCAAACTCGCCGTCGCATCTCGCCAGCGAATGGGGTGATGCTGGAAAAGTTTTGGGGATCTCGGTGATAGCCTTGACTTAGAGCGAGTTGCACAATAATACCTTGCACGAGCCATAGACCGGTATCAGCCTCTTGAGACATGAATGACTCACAGATGAGATAGTTGATCAACGTTTCTAGTACATATGGTCCACCCCTGGTGTACTGACCTAGAATCAGGCTGTGAAGTGTCTGTTCACGAAATATACGGATCCGCTCTGTAGTCTCTGGATCCGCTGACTCCTCGATCGATTGTTGGTACAACGTCGCGGCGCACATTACGCTAAATAGAAGCCCTATCCAGATGCATGACATAGCAGATGTGTTTTGCCAGAACATCTCATACTATAACCCGGTCCGGACTGTTAGCTCACATATGTCCCAAAGATCAAACAGGACGTCTATAAGCTGTACTACCAGGCAACAAACTACATACCTCGCGAAGGAAGTGTACACTGTGCAGGATGCTAGGCACAACTCCTTGTGCGTTGAAGTACCGAGCGATCATACGATCCACAACAGGCCGAGGAGGAATTAAAGAAATAAGATCCTCCTTTGTTGTTTGAATTGGCTCGTATAATAGTCTTGGTCCGGGACTTTGGAGATGCCCATGGTCATTTGTAGCTAGCATTCGAGCCTCCTCTTCTTCCTCATAGTGATCTCTGAGATCCGAGATACTGTCGAGAACAGCAGCCCAGTGGACACTACCAACATAGCTTGCACCAGCGCCATGGTTTCGAAGACGCATACTACCTGGCTCTGACGGCCCTGGTGAGCTAGGACGGTCTCTGCTCTGGGATATGGACGCATGCCTCAGGGCTGGGACGAGCGTATCTTCGTCTACTGGAGGTAACGGAACCGTAGAGGCTGGAGAGGCCTGGAATGAATGGTCTGAGAACTCTCCAGCGGGGGCATCGGGATGTACACTTGGTGTTTTCAGTTGCTGCTGCCCAACCAAGTTGCGAACAAGCTCCTCGAGCTGCTGGATGCGATCACCGACGCTAACTTTACTCTTGCTCTTCCGTGGACCCGCCATCTCATAGGTGCAAGAAATGTCAATTCCCCTGTTGGTACAGGTCTTGCATGGAAGCTGACGGTCACATCGTACCCTAGTGGATAGTCAGTCAGTCTCAGCGCTGTTGAGAGCGCAATGCATGAGTGATTTTACTTGCGACTCCTACAAAAGGTACATGACAGCATAGGCTTCTCTCTTCTGCGATCTCGCAGTTGCGGCTGTGGGTCCCTGGACGCAGTACCGGACTGCTGCTGGACCTGGCTCAGCGATTCGGCGCAAGCGGGCGGCTCAAGATGATCCATTGAGGACGAGCTTCAACGGTACAGATTGGTACAGGGCGGCTCCGTGGGTACGGGGGGTCGTATTCCTGATCGCCGTTATGATTTGAGAGAGAAAGAAGTTCGGTGCCTCCGAGGCAGTGAGCTGATCTGGAAGCTCACAGAACTGAGGCGGAGCTATTGACGGAGGAATCGACGGAGCATTTAGCGGAGCGTTAAACGGAGCGGGGCTAACGACTTTGTCCCACTCGAGGCCTTTCAACTCCGGGATGGTTTAGCATCTGTCAAAGAATGGCAGTTGGACTTTTAGAAGCGTCAATAGGACCGCCAGACTCACCGTCCTAGGACTAACGAGTAAAAAATTGCTGTTTCTGAAGAGGCGATATTTGGTCCGGTTGCTGGGTGCTCTTGTATTGGTTTTTAATCTGGTTTCTTGGCGACATCATCTGCTGCCGCTAATAAAGCCACCAACGGAGCAAACCCGGGGCAATGTAGGGTGATCCGCATGGCAATTCTACGCAGGTTTTATCTCTTTAATTATTCCAAATGTCCTTACTTTAATTAACATAATTCTCAAGTGAGAAACATCAACCAGCAAGAACTTGGGCACTGCGATCTCTTATTCCTTTATTCACCAACCTCCATCAGTAAATTACACATAATTACATCTGTCCGAGAACGATGTCAGAAAATCGATTTAATAGCAACCTCACTGTTTACAATCACGAAACGAATCCGATGGCTGCCTTTGATTCTCCAGCACCACGAGACCTTGGTCGTGAAAAGGATCACACTTTAGACCAGCAACAACACTCAACAGCACGCGAAATAAACTTCAACGATGTCGAAGCTCAAAATTTGAACAAAGAAGCCGAGAAAGGCCCCCTAGAAGCCGACGACACTCCTACACCAGACCCAAACATCGTCGACTGGGACGGTCCAGACGATCCTGCGACCCCGCGCAACTGGTCCAATCGCTACAAATTAACAAACGTTGTAGTCGTCAGTCTATCAGTCCTCTACACCAACCTCGCAACTACCATGTTCGCCCCCGGCGCTGCTATAATGCAGCGAGAATTCGGGTACAAGAGCAGTACAGTCGAAGTCATGACCATTACCATAGCATCACTTGGCTTCGCCCTTGGACAATTGTTTGTACCGCCCATGTCTGAGGTCTTTGGCCGTATGCCTATTTATCGCGCGAGCTCTATCTTCTATCTTGGTTTCACGGCTGGTTGTGCGCGCAGCACCAATGTTACTGAGTTCTTGGTCTTTCGGTTGTTGACTGGCATGGCGGCGGCGTCGTATATGTCGACTGGTGGTGGTACGGTTGCTGATCTTTTGCCCAAGGAGGAGAGGGGCGTTGCTATGGCTATTTTCACTGCCGGGCCGCTGGTTGGGCCTGTGAGTTTTCATTTGCATATCTCGGGCGATTTATCGCTAACTATAAGACTAGGTTCTGGGCCCCATTGTCGGAGGATTTGTTGTTGAGAACTTGGGATGGAGATGGTGCTTCTACCTCATCTTGATGATTGTAAGTATAAGCCCATTACTCAGTCTCTTTCAAGCGAAACTAACAGGTGATGCTCCTGATAGGCCGGCGCAGTAACCTTCGTTACCTTTGCGTTTATACACGAGACGAGCGCTGTCAACATCCTCAAGTCTAAAGCCGCTCGACTTCGCAAAGAAACGGGTAACCCGAACCTACGCGCAGAAGGAGACAAACAAACGCCCGTTAAGCAACTTGTCCTACATGCCCTGACCCGTCCGATGAAGTTCCTATTCACATCCCCCATCGTCGCTTTGATCGCCCTCTATATCGCCTTCAACTTTGGCGTGACCATGCTCCTCTTCGCCACGTTCCCGACTGTTTACGAAAACACCTATCACTGGAGCGTCAGTATCTCCGGTCTGGCATATGTCGGCGTCGGTATCGGGTGCGCTATAGGTGTCATCACATTCGCTAAGCTCAGTGATCGTCTATTAAATGCAAAGGAGGGACAATATCGTGCAGAACGACGTCTGATCATGATGATGTTTGTCTCTCCACTGTCCCCAATCGGTTTGTTTATTTATGGCTGGACCACCGAGTACAAGGTACACTGGGTTGTGCCCATTATTGGCACAGCAATCTGCGGACCTGGAGCCGTAATAATCAATTCGTCATCGCAGACGTACATCATCGACATCTTTGGACCTCAAGCAGCGGCCTCTGCGCTCGCTGCTATTACGCTTCTTCGCAATTTGATGGGAGCCTTTCTGCCCCTTGCCGCCCCGACAATGTACAAGAACCTGGGTATGGGCTGGGGAAATAGTGTGTTGGCTTTTATCACGATGGCGTTTATACCTGTTCCGATTTTCTTTTACTTTCGTGGTGAAGCTATTCGGAAAAGGTTCCCTGTCGAAATTTAAGAAGAGGTTAATGAATACCTGATATTATAAATAGGTTTAGGTAAGAGTAAGGTAGTCCTGTGATCTTTAGGCCCCACAAGCTCTACGGCGTCAAAAGAGATGTAGCTGTTAATTAGATTCAGTCCAGTTCGAGGTGTGGTTTTGCGTTAAGTGATTTGGTTCCAAAACGTAAGCAACATAATCTTGTTTATTGAGAAATTTAAGCTAAATTACCTATGAATAAAACCTGACGTTCATGAAAAACACCGAAATTACTAAGACGATCGGGAAACAGTTAAGAAAATTGACATCCACTTGCATTCTCAGACCTACAACTAGGTTCCTGTTTCACTATCCACCTCTCTCCTTCTGCTCTTCACTTACTAAGAAACCACTTAGGATAGTAGAGGATGTTGGCAGCCTTGTCCGATGAGTTAGAAGCTTCGCCTCTATCGCCCTCTGCTGGTAATGCGGCACCTTCAGCGGCGAACCACTTGGGGTAGTACTCAAACGTTGCAGGATCTCCTGTGGCATTGAGTGCAGCGGCAGCTTCAGGGTCAGTAAACCATTTGGGGTAGTACTAGAGCTTAGCAGTGTCGAGCTTTCCATCCTCTGGGCCCGTGAACTACTTAGGATAGTACTGCACCTTCGCAGTCCCGTTACTACTAGTACCACCGCCCTGTTCAGGACCAGTGAACCACCTGACAGGATATTCAAATTTGGCGGTGTTACTAGAGCTAAAGGCTTCTTTGGTGCCTTCGGGACCTGCGAACCATCTGACGGGGTATTCAAACTTCGCAGTCTCACCCGAGGTAGTGGAGGTTTCTTTGGTTTCGTCAGGGCCTGAGAACTACCTGACCGGGTATTTGAATTGGGCCGTAACGTCGGCCGTAGCTTCAGGCTCCCTCTGTATTCTAATTCTTTGTGTGAAGCTTCTGTGTATTGACTATAAAAGCCTATTTTGCCTTTTTCCTTTGAAACCTTGGATCCACTAATGCTGTAAAGCAGTTTAACTTTTTCCTTTCCCTAATAATAATATAACGTGGTTGATAAGCAAGTGTACCAAACAAGCATGTGCACCAAAAATCCCTTATCCTATAATATTTCTATCTGATCAGATACTTCTCAACCACCAAGTATGTCTCAATCATCAGATGAAGCTAGAACCCTTCTTGCACTTCAAGCCCTTCAAAATAACCCTAAATTATGCCTCCGACGTGCTGCAAATATCTATGAGATCAACTATTGGAAGCTACGTCGCCGTCATAATGGCATTCAATCACGACGCGATACCTTTCGAAGGTCACGGAAATTAAGTGATCTGGAGGAGCAGATTATAGTCCAATTCCTCCTTGACTTAGACTCACGAGTATTTCCTGCACGACTTTGCTTTGTGGAAGATATGGCCAATTCCCTCCTAGCTGACCGCGATGCGTCACCTGTTGGCAAGCGCTGGGCTCATAACTTCGTCAAGCGACAACCAGAGCTAAAGACGCGTTTATTTCGGAGATATGACTATCAGAGAGCCAAATGCGAAGATCCGACTATTATTCGTGGCTGGTTTCGGCTTGTAGAGAACACAATCGCAAAGTACGGTATCCGATCAGATGATATTTGGAACTTTGATGAGACTGGCTTTATGATGGGCCTCATAATGGCTGAAATGGCAGTTACAGGCTCAGAAAGGCAAGGAAGACCAAAATCAGTGCAGCCTGGAATTCGTGAATGGATTACTGCAATTGCGGCGATAAATGCGGAAGGTCAGTCGATCCCGCCGTTCATCATTGGTTCAGGCCAATATCACCTTGCCAATTGGTACCGAGAAAGCAACCTCCCTGCTGATTGGGTTATCGCAACGAGCCAAAATGGGTGGACAAATAACGAGCTGGGTCTTGAGTGGCTAAAGCACTTTGATCGATCTACAACTAAACGATCAAATGCTCGGTATCGTCTAGTACTTCCTAGTAGGTATAGTTATATATATTAGATAGTATAGTTATTAAGACCTAAGTAGGGGTTATAATAAAGCAGTAGAGGGATATATAGCTATTATGATCGAATATAAAGGTCCTAGTGGTTTACCTTGATAGACAATAACACCGCAGTACTAATAAACAAAGTAAACTGTTCTATGGCAATTGTTTAAATATTATGTTGATCATATGCTGATTTTCATTGATCTCATGCTGAAATTCATTGCCTCTGGTCTGGTCTGGGTGTGCCAGCTTTACTTCACCCGCCGGGGGCCTCGATCGATTAAGCTGGCAACTTATACTTCTGTTGGCTTTGAATCTCGTATCGCTGTTCACCTTCAATTTCCACCTTGACTTGATCGTGCAGTTCAACTTTTGCTTGGCTATGTACTTGCCCCTCAAGTCTCAAGCCTTGACATTGGTGTCAAAATTAGGGTTCATATGATTGATTCACTTTGATATAGCCAACTGCCTCGCAATTGTAGGTCATGGATCCAAAGGCCCTGACGGGCTTATAGGGCAGATTTCTGGTCTAGTGTCTGATGACGGCTTTCCTTCAAAGAACCCATACTGCCTGTGGTCAAGATGTGATATTTCATTATGTGAATATCACTGCTAGGCCCATAGCAAGTAGAGCGACTAGTTTCATTCCCCTCGGTGGAGGAGATGCTGAACTTGAAGTGGAATCTGCGGCATTGGTTGAAGCCGAGGACTCAGACGCGCCAGACGTGGTAGATGCGTTGCCGTCAGTCGTGGTAGAATCAGTTCGAGAGGTTACCGAATCGGTCTCAGTTGCAGTAGAGCTGGGCAGCGTGGCAGTTGTCTAGATCTTGCCGTATCAGTGACATGGTCAAAGTCTTTGATAAATGGGATGATTGGACGTACAGGGCTGGTGTATGCAACGCCCAATGCGAACAACACGTCACGACCAGATGTCAACGTATATCTTTCCGCGCTTTCCGTCTCCACTGGGTTGCCGTCCACTGTGCCGGTCAGGAAGGCAGTTTTGATGAGTACAGTGGTGTTTTCGAAGTTGCTCGCGCAGCTTATATTCGCAAACGTTGAAATCCGTCCATCGTGGCAAGTGAAATCGTATGCACTTCATCGTTTCGTCAGCATACACCCCTATACCATTGCATCGCGCCTAGACAGAAGTGTTCTTACGTCGGGCAACATGTTGTAATACCGTCCGCATTACAAGCAGAAGTAAAGCTATTCGGGCAAGCAGTGCCCAGCAATTATTCACTGACGAAACGGAGATAAATTAGATAGATTTTAAACTATTTAATTAACTATAGAGGGATAATAATAAGAATAAGATTATCCTACCTATAGCTGAGGGCTAGGGAGATCTCTTATCTAACTAACTAAAATTCTAATAGTAGATATAATCCTATAATATATCCCTAGGAAAAAGAAGCCTACTAGATAATCTATTTAGATAATAGTAAAATCTAGTAATATATTCCTATATTATAATATTATAAGCTTATAAATAGTAATTCTAAGGTAAATAATCTAATAATATAAGAAAAAAATAGAAAGACTAGATAATAGATTAATAAAGATTATTATACTAGTAAGATAAGATATAAATAGAAGAGATAATAAATCTAGTTAAAGAATATTATATTTTAACTATAGGCTAAATACTTAGTAAAAAGAAATTAGATTTAATATTATAACTTAGTAGGG